AATCTGACTAATCCCGGACGAGCCCCCACAAAATGTAGCCCTCCTGCCGGGTAGAATATTGTGGCTCACAATGTAAGAATCTGTCTAGGGGATCTTAAATTTATCCACTACCCCGGTGGAGGCACATTTCCCTTCAGTTACAGTATCAACACATAACCCAGATCTCAGATCTTCACCTGATAGTGTCAGATTTGTGTTTTCTATTTGGAAATAATAATAAAAAAAACACTATTGTGTTTACCTTTAGATTTTTTAAATACAAATCTCTCAAAGGAAAAAAAATTATAATTAATAATAAACAGTCTTTCCACAGGAAATCACACAAAATTATGGCAGATCAATAAACATGCATTTATTATTCTCAGTACTCTGTTGTCTTTGTTTTTTTCCTCTTTGAATGACCAAATAATTCAATTCACAAAGTCACAACCAATAATCACCATAAAATAAAATAAAATGTCAATGTAATAAATTTACCCAGCTGGGATTTTCAGTACACAGATGGCGCGCTAGTTGGAGCTCTTTGATGCAAAACCAGAGTAGGCTACTCACGAATCAGGAAAAAGAATTCCAATTGCAGAATGCTCACTCTTCAACGAGATGACAAACAGCAACCGTGACGCAACCCACGACGACGTTGAGTAGGCCTCGATGAACTCCTCCCTCGTGGTGGTTAGATGCATCCGCGAAAATCCACACAGATCTCCCGATTTCGACAATCACTCGGTGTCAAAGACAATAAACACACAGTTGACATGAATTCCCAACTACATACTCCACTGCAGTACTTTTACCCAAAATAAACACGGGTATATTCTTCCGGATTTCACACGAATTACTCAACTTCTTATATCTCAAACTGCAACACTGAACTTGAGAAAATAAACACGGATATATTCTTCCGGATTTCACACGTAAAACTAATAAAACAAATCAACGATGATAGGAAAAAAAACACAGATTTTCTCACATGGGATCCTCGTGCTAGATATCCTCTATCTCTTTTACTCACGTGAAACTTAAGTGCGCATGCAGTCTTTCAGCGAACTCTCTCGCATTTCTTTTCCGTGCGGCAAGCTGCAAACTCATCCATGAATTTTTCAGTTCACACTATACTCTCGTCACCAAGCTAGCACTAAAACAAAAATCTGCGTGAGCGTCGACCACTGTCAGCTTTCCTCGTGTCGAACTTCCCAGAGAAAAAAAAAAACCTCGCGAGAGATTTAGGGGTCAAAGTCCACCGTTTTCATTGTCCAACTGAAACTCTCTCAGAATACTCAATAAAATGCAGCCATTTTATGAGTTGTTTTCCCTTACACACATATTGAAAAAAAACCTTTTATAAACATGTCTCATATTTAAACATGAAAAAAAAAACAAAGTCGATCTACACTTTGTTTGAGTGTATGTTTTCAGACCCAAGATACAAATAATAAAATTCTCTTTTCAAAGAAAAACGACAGTTATACGTTTAGAAACACAAACATTTATCCAGGTCTCTACACTTGTAATTAAATTCTTATTGTAACAAATGCTAAAGTTAAACAATGACAAGATGTAAGATGTTACTTTGAAGGCCAAGCACAAGAAAAAGAAAAAAAGTTTTTTTTTTAACTTATGCTTGGCCTTCAAAGTAACCTCTTACATCTTGTCGTTGTTTAACTTTAGCTCCCCCCCCCACCCCACACACACACACCCCTCCCCCACGTTCAAATCCAAACTACGAAAAAAACAACCACCCCCCCCCTCCCCCTCCCCCTCCCCCAGGCACTAAACCATCATTACTTGAACCGTGGATTTCACAAAACACAAAAAAAATGTCACAAAAAAAAAAGTCACATCTCATCACCTCATACACAACATGACAGCCCTGCCTACACTATAAATACAACGCCATATGCAAAAGAAACACAGCGTTCGTAAAGCTATGCACGAACTTAAGTTAAAAATGGTATCTGCTGATACAAACATTGGTCCGACGGTAATCGTGTCCATGGCCAAAAATAGTCGCGGTAGGACATAAATAAATCGAACAGATACAGAACAGATAACGTCAAAGTCAAGACGTTGAAAGCACGAATTTCATTTTGGAACTAACATATTTTCAACCATGACGGGACGTGTTTTTGTGACTTGTGCATTGTAAGACCTTTAAGACATCTTAATAATCAAGACCTTTTTACATTAACAAATGGATCTGCGGACACCCGTAAAAGAATTATCAAAATAAAATGCAAAACAAATAATCAAATGTTATGACTTTGCTTACCTTCCATAATTGAGTCAAACAAGTGTCGATACCTATCAAAGAAAATTATAGGCCTATATTCAGTGCCAATGCGAAAGAGATTGACATAAATATATTTTTTTTTATTAAACATAGCCTACATCAAACTTTATTTTATAAAAGATAAATCATGCAAATCTATGGTTACACCAGAACAAATTTGTACTTACGCTGATGATACTCCTGCATGTATGATCCTTGAAGTTGATCATCATCGCTGCCTCCGTCGTTGGTGTCGATTTTGGACCAATCAAATTAAACTGGTCAACGCACTTAGACCAATCAAATAGCTAGCTTTCAGGGTACTCTAGGTTAAAAAAGGTAAAGGTACATTTTGGAGGAAGGGTGACGGCACCTGACGGCTGGTGTGAATAGGCCTATGCTATACGTTTACAGCAAGTTTGAAAATCCCATTCTTACACCCCACAACACCCCCACTCCTCATTCACTATGACAAATGCACATCATCTGCTTGAACAGCTTGAACTTCAAACAAATTGGTGTTGAGCTCGCAGCCTCGCACACTGTCTGTAATCTGTGCAAATGACCGAGCATGGACCTCCTAACAACACTCTTATCCTTTTTCCACTGAACCTTCAACAGTTTGTCTGAATAGACTTTCTTTGTTACCGTGACGTAAATTTACTCATTGATTTTCGCGCACACAGCCTTCACGTTAGCCCGGTTCCTGTGTTCATTCGGGCTAAGTGTACGTTTGAAAGGTCCAAGGTAGTGCGCACGCACTGTAAATCTCTTGGGTAGGATTTGGGGTGTGGAGTGCGTGCGTATTACACGCCAAAAAGTGCGTATCATATGCACGCGAAAACTGCGTATCATTTACACGCAAAAACTGCGTATCATACGCAAAAACTATTTTTGGCTTATAAATGGCACGAGAAATTAAATTCGTGGTATAGATACGCACTTTCATAGTGCAACATTAGTGCAAGTTTACCTTAAGATAGCATGCAGTGAGGTAGCCGAGACAGGACGCGGGACAGGCGCGTATCCGTGAGGTCGCGGGACAGGCGCGTATAGCCGAGACAGGACGCGGGACAGGCGCGTATAGCCGAGACAGATCGCGGGACAGGCGCGTATAGCCGAGACAGGTCGCGGGACAGGCGCGTATAGCCGTGACAGGTCGCGAAACAGGCGCAGTTAACCGTGACGGGTCGCGGGACAGCCGCGTATAGCCGTGACAGGCGCTTATAGCGGTGGCGGAACGCGGGTCAGGCGTGTATAGCTGTGACAGGTCGAGTGGCAGACGCACATAGCTGTGACAGGTCGAGTGGCAGGCGCACATAGCGGTGACAGGTTGAGTGGCAGGCGCACATAGCGGTGACAGGTCGAGAGACAGCTGCCAATAGCGGTGACGGGTGGAGTGACAGGTCTCGGTGGCAGCTGTCCCTGCCACGGAAAGATTTTACTCCCTCTCCAACTGGGGTGGCAGCAGGGGTGGCAAGGCTTTCTTGCCACCCCGGTAGATCCGCCCCTGCCTCCGTGAGAGATACGAGACCGGTAACTTACGTCTCACAGGTGTCGCTCATCGGTACTCACGCCACCGGCCTCGCGTCGTTCTCCACACGGCCCTCACTCGTCCTGCTCGCCACAGTAAACATGATGAATGACGACTGTAGAACGCAAAAGCCGAATCCCGGACATTTTGGGCGATCTCGAAACACATTTTCGGGCAGATCATCACGGAGCAGGGGCGTAATTTATGGGGGGGATATAACCCCCCCAATATTTAAATCTATGCATTACAACCCCCCCATTATTTATACCATGATCACAATATCAGGAGGCATACCCAAACTTCAACCCCCCCAATGTTCAAACCAAATCTACGCCCTTGTCACGGAGACTCACTAGCCTAGACTTGTTGTTTAACTACTGCGCTCTGTTACCGGTAGGCGTGGCCTCCTAGGGCAGCGAAGCAAGTGCATTCTGGGAGTTGTTGTCTTTCATCCACATAAGCCAAAAATACATTTTCTGTCTTTTCTCAGTCTAGAAAGCTCCAAATTCAAAAATAATTTCACATTTCTTGTACATAAATTACCCATTTTAAATACACATTCATCTTTCCAGAGGTGGAGTGACCCTTTAAGAGTTTAGAAATATCTTGCACACAGAAGGGTGTGTCTTCCAGACAAATGGCCTCCTGCTCTCGAAAGGTGTACTCTGAATGCAAATTCCTATTGTTAGCAAATGTTTCCATGCGAAAAGAAGTTTCTGTCTATATAATGAAATGCAACAAGAGGCTCAGCGCGATTCTGTAAGCCAGACTAGCCTGTGATGTGAAGTGTAAGCAAAACACTTGGCATCATGTATTTATAATGTCAAGGTTCGCATCTTCTCTTTATTCAAGAGCAGTTGATGTTTTGTATCCATTATCTTTGAACTGATTATGAAATTGGCAGATACATTTACCTGACATAATAAATTGTAATCATTTGATTTTTATTCTAACTGACTTTAGTAGAGTTAAAAATAATTAGTCAAACATTCACTCACATTTAATGATGCACAGATATCATTAAAACCTTTTCATTTATGAAGAAGATGAAATAACGAGATAATACATATAAAACAATTATTTCATTTAATTAAATTACTTAGCCACAAGGAAAGACCGACCTTCACCCGTTATCGGAAACCGCCTTTGGGCCAATTGCTAATTCTTTATATATAAACAGCAATTTTTTCAGATTTGTTTTTAATTTTAACTGACAGGAGTGATGATCAGTGGGTTTGAGTTTTTACCTTCATCATTATCGCCTGGGCTGAAATATGGATAGAGTTTATCAGTGAAAGTCTGAGCAGTGAAAGAGTAGATATGAGATCTGAACTCCACGTCATAAAAAGAGACCAGACCCTCCTCATAATCCACAAACACACCAACCTTCTCAGGTTTCACTCTCAGAGATAAAGAGACAGATGAACTTTCACAAGCTATATAATGATCCTCATTCCTCAGAGCCACAGTCCAGAATCCATCCTCAGGACTCAGTCTGATCGTCCCCTTCCTGTTAATGGATTCTCTGATCACTCCTAAATCCCACTCAGTCTTTCCCTTCACCTGCACCTCATAGTAAAATCTCCCTGAACTGAATCCCTCCTTTGCCAGAACACAAAGACTCTTATCAAATCTCTTTGGGTTTTCTGGGACGTCCTGCTCAATGTCTCCATCACTGACTTGTTTTCCATCATCAGGCAGGATGAGATGTGGATGCGCTGTATCAGGATCCAGAGTCACATCCACTGAGAGAGATCAGACATTATAAATCAACTTATTTACAAATATAAAACTTATTTTCATAAATATTTTCAGATGTACAGTATAAAATACAGATTATAAACAGTATTGTGTATTGAAGAAAATGGTGTCAGTCACACTATACCTGCATAGTTCTGTGCATACTTCAACCCTGTGGACACAGATGACAATATAATGATGAATTTTTTATATCAGTGATTTCAGGTAAACAGTGAGTTTCTCTTTATTGGCAGCATCAGGAGCTGTAACTGCAGCTCGTCCCCCAGTTTGTAAAATAAAATGCAGAATGTGTTTACTAGGGGTGTAACGATTCATTGACTACATCGATGAATCGATTTATATTCCTATGATCCAACTACATCGATCTGTGCTCAGCAAGTTGGCCTTCCGGACGAGATATATCGATCTAACATCGTTTTAAAAGGTAATCAATCGATTTTATCGATAGGAAATAACGCATTGGATTTAAGCAGGTCAGACTTTATATGGATGTTTTTTCTTAGCATGTTTAATGATAAAGGCGTTAAACGTTACTCGATTCAGTCATTCATTCGTGACAAGACAAAAAATATCGAGTTGACTGTGACACACACACACACAGAGAAAGACTCGCGCCAGGATCGTGCGTGCGCACAAGACAGCACGCCAGAATACAGTTCTCTTTCGCGCTTGAACGAACAATAACACACAATTATGCCAAAATGTCTTTTTGTCGAGTATCTTAACACAAGAGCAGTCTTACGATGGCCGTAAAGAGTTGTGACTCATGAGAGAATGAGGCGCGTGTGTGATCCGCGTCTCTGTCAGACTCAGGAGCGGCTGGTCTTAAAGGGACAGTACACAGTTGCCACTAATTATCTCTGTCATTAAAGTTAATCAAAGAACAAAAGGAACAGAGAAAAACACTCAATGCTCTTGACTAAATAACTTTTGTAACTTTAATAAGGATTATTCTATAATTTATAATGTTTGCAGTGCAGACTGTTGAACTTAATTCAATGTCTGTATGTCCTACCTGTTAGACAGGAATGTCCAGACATTTTTATCCAGACATCAATGGCCTATTGATCATTATAGGTGTTATTAATCATTTAGTTGTTGTTGCAAGTTTGAGTTGAGAAATAGTCTACACATTTCAGCATTATCACTAATTGTGTGCATTTTCTTTGAGAACCAAGCAAGTTCACTCATGAAATCATATTATTATCGCAATTGCATATCGCAATCGCAATATTGACCTCAATAATCGCAATATGAGTGGACTACCCAACAGGACAGAACATTCCACTGCAACAGGTCATTCCCACACAACACAAGCATATTCACCCCCTAGCGGTAACATGGAAAGTGGAACGGCTAGAATTGTACTCAGTATACTACAATTGCCGTTTCAGTTTCTTTTGTAGTTTCTAAAAGACTGATACAAATACAATGGTCAAGCAGCTCATCAGGTTTGTGAACAGAGAGATTGTCCTGTAATATTGTACATGATGACTGATGAGAGATGTTGACAGACCTGTATGAGATGGAGATGATCGTCAGTGTGTGAGAGCTGCTCCAGCTCAGTGATTTCCTGCTGCAGCTCTTTAATGAGATCTTCAGTCTGTTTCTCTGCTGCTTTCTGCTGTCCCTCTATCATCTCCATCCGATCAGACCGACATCTCTAAATGTAGCCAATCAGAACATTGAAAATCTTATCACTGGAGGATTTATCTTTCTCTGTGTTTTTCTGATAAATGAGACCAATTAGAAGGTTCAGGTTCATCTATTAAGTTTTATCTATTTAATTGAGAACCTTTATGAAGCTGATTGAAATATTATAATGCATTATCAATTTTACGTTTTAACCTCCACTCACCTTTCTCAGCTCTACTGAGTGCTGGATCTCTTGAATCATCTTCATTCTGTCCTGGATCATCTGACGAACGGCAGTCTACATACAGAGAAACACAGATAACTTCTGGAAGACAAAATTAATTCAAAATTCTGTGGCGTTTAGTACATGTCTTTGAGGATCTTTTTTTTCTTTCTAAAAGTAAAAAAAAAAACTATTGGCAGTTTAAAGGTAGGGCAGGCAATTTCAGAGTGGCTAGCATTAGCAAGCTAGCTTTGAAAGCATCAGATCCCACCCTTCCTTCATTGTGTCTCCAATGCATCAGATGAGAGACTGCGTTAAATTACCTTATTTCTCAAAGCACATCACATTACAATAATAATGAATATAAATAACTTTTAGAGCTCTTACTTGTTCCACCTGACTGCTGTAGATTCATTTTGGCATTGATACTGTTGACATAGAAACGCATAAATCTGCTCAGGGTAGAACGTCACGGGTTGCTATCTCTTAATTACGGTTACGACTGTCACATCCACCAGCTGGAGTGCCCTTAATCTCCACCAGAGGGCACTCCTCCTGACTCCTGGGCTTTTCCATTATGAACTTCACTGCCCAGTATCCATTGACTGTTCATGATTGTGTAATATGTTTTAGCTGTGTGTGATTACCCTTGTTAAAGTCTGCCTATCTAAGCCCTGTATTTTCATTCTCACTTTGCATAGTCTTGTTTTGTGTTATGCCGAGTTCAGACTGCACGATTTTCAAAATAATCGGGTCACTGTTGTTTTCACACTGCATGACTATCTGGGGTAACATTCAGTTGCTGCTGTGTTCACACTGCACGATGGATCGGCGACAGGAGGTTTCACACTGCATGACTTTACAAAAGAAAGAATCACCGACAACTTCTGCCTGGTCCGCAAACTACGTTTCACAACCAAACAAATGCGAGAAGTGATAGGAAATAACGGAAGATCACGCGTGCGTGAGACCGGAGTTCTCGCGCGACACTGAATTTGTTATTAAAAATGATAGCCTACAAATTGTCTGTGCACTGATTTGTAGCAAAAAAAAAAAAAAAAAAAAAACAGTTTATGCAGGAAATGGTTGGGAAGACGAGGGGAGCAAGGACTGTGTTTTGCAAAGAGAGTTGGGGGTAAATAAATAATTTTGCAAATGTCCTGCTGGTCATGCAAATGTTTGTGCTTTGTTTCTGTTTGATATAATTGTAAATATAGGCCTATCTATTAAAATACTGACATTCTGGTCTATAACTCCTCCTCCTCCTCCCTGTATCTTGCTCTCTCGTTGGCTGTCGGTCATCGCCGATGTAGTTTTCAGTCAGAACACATTCACACAGCAGGATTGTGAATCGCCGACAGGTCCAGATATTTAGCATGCTAAATATCTCACGGGCGTCGGCGACTCGTCGGCGATTCTCTCAGATCACGTCTTTGCTCATTCACACTGCGTGATTGTCACTCGCGTGAACGAGCACCGATTTGCCTGTGATTTCGGGCATTTGTCGGCAATTTCTCAAAACCTGTCGGCGAGCCAAAATCGGGGCTAAAATCGTGCAGTCTGAACTCGGCATTACCCTGCTATTTTGAGCGCCTGTATCCTGGTTTCCTGTGTCTTGGATATCCTTGTTTGCCTGTGTTTTTGGACTCTATCGTACATTTGGATTGTTTGCTCTATGGTTTTGACCCCATGCCTGTTATATGGATTATGATTCTGGATTGTCCCAATTAAAGCTGCATTTGGATCGTCAACCCAAGTCTCGGAGCAGTTCGTGACAGAAGACTACTAAATGGATCCAGCACTGAGAATTATGCACCTCCCCGACAAGGAAGGCGCAGCATCAAGGACCATGTACTGGACATTGTAGGCTCACTTAACCAACATGGACAAGATTCCCCATATGATCTTTTTTGGGAGCGGGTTGTCTGAGCCACTCAATGCAATTATGCTGCTACATGACCCAGACTGGACTTTGGCACATTATACTTGTTTGTCATTGCAGCTGAGCAGTTCTCCTTTTAATCTGGAGGAGGAACCTTCTCCTAAAAACTTTTCACTTACCGTTTTAACTAAGGCTGTCAGTTAAACGCGTTATTAACGGCGTTAACGCAAACCCATTTTAACGGCGTCAATTTTTTTATCGCGCGATTAACGGTCTTTTTGGCCTAGCAAACGTTGTAGTTTTTTTCACATGCTTTTGCAACAGGACGCGGCATGCGCGGCGCTGCGCTATGAAACCCATTCATTTCAATGGCTTGCGCCGCGTGAGGAAGTTTTTTTGCTTCGTCGACCAAAGCGCAAGCGGATCTAGCTAGACCGGAAACAAAACAACAGGCACACCGCACACACTTGTTTGGGCTTGCGAGCCGGCCAAATAGTTGGTTAACGTTACGTTTTGAGTGGATGACAAGCGCAAGACGCCGAAATGGATGCCAATAAGATTCTGAATGGAAAGTTTACTTTTAAGAAGTTGCCAAATGGTTCCATTGACAAGACCAAAGTGATCTGTGTGTTTTGTCGTTGTGGACTGAGCTATCATCATCGCAGCACGTCCAGTCTGAAATACCGCTTGATGGCCAAGCACACACACACACACACAGCTGATGCGAATTCTCCGCCCCCTCGTCAATATCAGGACCTCGTCAGTATTTCTTTCACCCTTTTATTGATGGACAGTGTTACATTGTGTGAGAGATTATTTGCTCCAAGTGAGAATGTTAGTGTGAAATTGAGCACATGGTATGCCAATGTTGTTTTCAATAAAAAACATTTGCACAAAGCAAGCCGATCCACTTTTCCATGTTGATAAGAGCATTAAAATGAGAAAAAATAATGGGACAAAAAGAAAAGAGACATTTAGAATAGATAAAAACAATTGTGATTAATCGCGAGTTAACTATGACATTAATGCGATTAATCGCGATTAAATATTTTAATCGTTTGACAGCCCTAGTTTTAACACAATTTTGATTCAGCAAGTCTGATGATCCCAGGTCCAGTACTCACAGCGCTTCTGAGTCCAGTGGTGTCGATGCGAGCAGTTGGCATCTTAGTGGTCCTGACATCGTCCTTTAGTCTAGTACATCCAAATCCGGTGGTATCGAGTCTGGAAATCTCGAGGTTGTCCCACCATTGATTGCACTCCCAGTTACAGCGATAGAGATTCTATGTGTCTGAGCCATGAACGCTTCTTCAGTTTCTCCAGAAGTGGCGGCACCTGACCTAATTTTATCTGAGGCTGCAACTACTGTTCTTGAACTCTCAGTATGTCCTGCTATGGTCAAGGAGATCAATGATGAAGTCTCTGCTTCATCGTCTGTCTGTGAACTGTCTGGCTGTCCTGCTATGACCACAGTGGTTGCCTGTGAAAGCCCTGTCTACCTAGATACGACCACAGTGGTTGTCCCTGAGCTTTCTGTCTATCCTGTCACGACCAGGGATGTCGCATTCAAAAACTGCTTGCTTTGGTAATTACTGACCTTTCTGCCTGTTTTAACAAACGTTCTGGTTGATCTTCTATAGGGATCATCTAACCAGTCTGATCTGCGCTGGTGGCCTTCTGCTCCGCCGTTGTGGTCACCAGCTATGTCTTGGTGGTCTTCAGGGGGAGGCTATGTCACATCCGCTAGCAAAAGTATTCTTAATCTCCATCAGAGGGCACTTGTCCTGACTCTTAGGCTTTTTTCTATTATTAACTTAATTTTATGGTATCCATTGTCTGTTCCCATGATTGTTTGATTTCGTACAGCTGTGTGTGATACCCTTGTTAAATCTATGTTTTCTTTCGCATTCTTTGCGTAGTCTTGTTTTGTGTTGCACTGTTTTGAGCGCCCGTACCTCTGTTCTTCTTTGTTTGCCTTTGTTTTTCTTTGTTTTTGGAGTTTATCGTACATTTGGATCGTTTGCTCTATGGTTTTGAGCCCATGTCTGTCATATGGATTACGATTCTGGATTGTCCCAATAAAGCTGTTAAAGCAGTCCGTGACAGAAAACGACATCACTAAATGGATCCAGCAGTGGATCTAGCTGGTTGTTTTGGTTCAGGATGAACTGTAAAAGGCGACTGCTGTTTGTTTGTGGTGCAATATTGAGTGTACAACCGATGTACACTCAACAGCTAGAGGTTACCCATAGTGCACTGTGACTATCACGCTGAATGAATTCCCATGTCTCGATGGGATGAATCAAATGATTTTGAACACACCCTGTGGTTCTACAACTCTGGATAGTCTTACAGAACACAATGTCAAAGTGTGATGTTTGCGTGAGCAGGGTGCGGGCAGGTATGGAAATATATATACTGTATATATATATATATATATATATATATATATATATAATGTCATATCAGACCAAATGCAATGATTAGAAAAACATTTTTCGGTCTTGAGACTTTCACAGAAGATATTTGTTGGTTTGACAAATAATAGTTATTTGACAAAAAATAGTTGGATAAAGTCCAAATAAACATCCAAACTATTAAGAATGACATCTAGAATTCTTTCACAGCATGTATAGTTGAATGAAACACTTCAGCCATCTACTGGCCATTATTGTCATAACATGATTTGGGCCTGACATGAAAGTCTTGTTGTTCTTTTTTCACCAGATGGCAGAAATGTTTACATTTATAGAAGTGTGATTTATACTGTAGTTAAGGTCCAAAAATTGAGTATTTGATACTCAAATAAAGAAATTTAAATAAGATCTATGAACTAAATTACCTAAAATCCCCCAAAAGTGCATAATTTTATTGTTACTACACTGTAAACTTTACTATAAATTTCAATTGCTGATTTAATTTTTTTTTAGCATATTCAAATCGCTGTACAAGTAACTTTAACTTATATTATAATAAACTGACTTTAAAAAATTGAGTTGAATTTTGTATAACTTAAAAGTTGAAATTGTTTAAAATATTTTGATGAGTAGCCTAAACATTATGTAAAAACATAACTTGCCATGACTTACTGATCATATTTTTTACAGTGTGCTTTAAGGAATTCAGTTTTATAACACTTAAAAAAACAAGTTGCACTCACAGTTCAAAAATAACTAGGAAGAGCCCATGTGTCTTCCTTATAAGGTTATTAAGCTTATAAGGGTTAAAGTGTTTCGTTTTTCATTTTTACCTTCTTCTCTCGACTCTCCTCCTCTATAGGAACAGTGTTGTGAGTCCTGTGTTCTCCTTCAGTGCAGGACAGACAAACACACGTCTGATCATCTCTACAGAACAGCTCCAGAGGTCTCTCGTGTTTCTGGCATATATAATCCTCCAGATTTTCCACAGCGTTGATCAGTGTGTGTTTCTTTAGACGCGGGACTCTGTGATGAGGCTCCAGATGAGAGTCACAGTAAGAGCTTTGACACGTCAGGCAGGTCTTCACAGCTTTCTGCTTTCTTTCATCACAGATGTCACAGAACACTGGAGGATCACGGGAGGACGCCATGGCTGACAAAACAAATGACAATATAACATCTACATTGCTGAATAGAGCAACTTTTATATTAATAGTTCCCTTTCGATACGGTTCACTCGCATTGCGTCAGTTTCTAATGCGTATGGGGAAACTTCTTTTTCTCCGAATACTGAAGCCTGATCGGTTCACGGCTGTGCTTTGCACAGACAAATGGCTTTTCAGCCAACCGAAATGGGCGGGGCCGACTGCATTTAAGTCGCGCTAAAAGCCATTTCAGTCAGAATTTCTCTCCTTCAGCCTCTTTCGCTAAGACCAGACTCCTGGCTGGCTCTGACAATAAGACATGACAAGGGCGGGGCGAGCATTTGTGCTTATAAAACTTTAACTTTTTTATTTATTTTTGAAATGACCGATCGTTTCGCTAGATAAGACCCTTATTCATCGTCTGGTATCGTTTAAAGCCCTTTGAAGCTGCACTGAAACTGTCATTTGGACCTTGAACTGTTTGGGTCCTGTTGAAGTCCATTATATGGAGAAAAATCCTGGAATGTTTTCATCAAAAACCTTAATTTCTTTTCGACTGAAGAAAAAAAGACATGGGCATCAGGGATGACATGGGGGTGAGTAAATTATCAGCAAACGTTTTTTCAAAAGTGAACTAATCCTTTAAGCTGATGTTTTGATTCAACATCTAACTAGTAGGGGTGTAACGATACACGTATTCGTATTGAACCGTTCGGCATGAGGCTTTCGGTTTGGTACGCATTACAAACCGAACGATTCGTTTGCCATTTGATGTTGTGCAACGTTGTGGTGGTTTTTGGTTGGCAGAAAAAATGGTCCAACAAATCGTTCTTTTGCCTGACGAGGCATAAGATACAACTAAGAAAATAAAATTTATTCAGAAAATTTGAATTCAAATTTTGATCAATATGTTATTTATTAATCTACAAAACTGGATGATTAGGCCTGCAATTAAAGAATTGATTTGATATTAATCAGTTAATTACTGCCATTCAAAATGTGTTTTCCTTTATTCTACTAAAAAGATACATTTGTAAAGATAAAGTATGTTGGTGAATGTTTTGCAGTGTAGTTAATATATGACATATTTCTGTTCAAACCATTAACGGATCTGTCAGGTTTCCGATACGTTTCCCCAATGTTAAACTCATTCCTACGCCCCTGCATGACAGGATTCTAATTTTGGGATCTTTCTGTAATGCACCCCAGAACTTATGTTCACTGAGTAATTTAGTTTGTGTTTTCAAAAAATGGATGTTGCATAGTTAAAAAGTATTTAAACAACTTAAACTATGAACCACTGTCAAGCTGTCAAAGCAGCCATTCATGCCATAAGCAGGCATATGAGAGAGCAGTTTCTGAGAGGAAGTCCCTTCATCTCCATCACTAACTCTAACCTCAGTGAGAAGTCCCTCCATCTCCATCACTAATTCTAACCTCAGTGAGAAGTCCCTTCATCTCCGTCACTAACTCTCACTGAGCCTATAAGCTCTGCCTCTAAATGCCAGTCTGAGACCATGTGCTCCAAATGGCTGTAGTTAGATCTATTGGGCTGCAGAAGAATCATCTAAATACAGAAACTAAATGTGTCTCTGGGAGTCACAGTACAGCAAATGCAACCGTTTTATACAACACCATTTCATACAATCATGAATATATATTTTTATATATAAAAGAGAACACAAGTAGGCATGGGCAGCCCAAGCCTTTATGGGGCCAAGAGCCGCATTTTATTTGGAGGCCCATTTAAAATCAGAATATGAGCATAGCTTACTCACTAAACACTAACATTCACTAAAATATTGAACTATTAGTGATACTGATTCAAAACGAGAGCGCCATTGACTGTCAAGTTGAACGGCCCCACCCCTCATAGTCCAGTCATTTTATGAACAAAGGTTAAAGAAATCGCAACAGATGCAATCTCAACTGATTTTGATTTTTCAACTCAATATGTCATGAGTAAGGGAAAAAAGCCCCGAAGAATCCCATTAGGGGAACGTTTTGAAAAAGAGCCAAATATAGCCTACTCATACGCCCATTCATTCTTTTTCTCACGTGAATAGGGTAAAATTTTTAACCTTTAGATATCACCATGAAAACTACTGAGTTACTTACTTCAAGACAAACAAAAAATGTATTACAAGTTTTTTTAAATTGTTTGTTAACATGGACAAACGGTGCATAAACTAATTATGTATGTGCTAATTTGCATAAATACCCAAACAGATCTAAACATTGGGTATAGCCAACCCATGTTAACAAACAATTGCCATCAAGTAATATATTTATTTATTTGTATAGCGTGTTTTTACAGTACACATAGCTTTATAGAAAGACAGACAGCTATTGTATAGTAACTGAATTGTATGTAAGCTAAATAAAAAAACACTAAGAATGAGAAACGTTTCATTTCACAATCTATTCAATTACATAGGCTACTAGTATATGAAACATACAAGTTAAAAACATTAATGGTCGTTATAATGTAGTTTAAATGACTAACTTTTTGTCCGTTTTGTCTGATTTGTAACCAGGCACTAAAGCCATTACCATAAAAGATGGGACCGCATCATAAAGAGTACGGAGAAGTACACGCACCCACATACGCACGGCACTTAAAAGTTAACCACTTTAATCACTGCTTTGAATGTACATGCTCGCAAATTAAATCTTTAACCGGCAAGGCTTTAAAACACATGCTAATAATGAACTTTTGTGATTGCAAATAAGTGCAGTGTCCCGTAAGTGTAACTCTACAGCTGTCCTTACATATGATGTGAATGTACGGTGAGTTGTACCTAGGCTTAATTAACTAGCTTAACTTAATTAACTGTTAATTAACTAGCCAACTTTAGTTAGCTTGCAACATAGCCTAATTTAGTTAACATTAATTATTTCAACATACCTTTATCTTGCCGTTTCTTCTTTTTTCCTTTTTCTTCACCAGTGGGGGAATGTGTCCTTTTTTGTGACATGACAGTTTTGCTGCTGCCTCTATCAGTCGCAGTCCTTTCTGAAAACATTACTGTTTGATTAAGCTTCCTGTTCATCAGTTTAGTTTTACTTTCTGATGTCATATAGTTCCACCCATAATCATAAATATGGAACAGTTCGTAATTCCTCCCTGCTGAGTGTGTAAACAGTGTAAGAAACTTATAGAATATCAAGTTATCACAGTGAAATCTTCTGATATTTTCTTGGGTCTTGTAAAAATGGTAAGTCATGTAGTGATGTTACAGCTCACCTATTAAAGGATTAGTTCACTTTAAAAAAAACTTTTGCTGATAATTTACTCACCCCCATGTCATCCAAGATGTCCATGTCTTTCTTTCTTCAGTCGAAAAGATATTAAGGTTTTTGATGAAAACATTCCAGGATTTTTCTCCATATAATGGACTTCAACAGGACCCAAACGGTTCAAGGTCCAAATGACAGTTTCAGTGCAGCTTCAAAGGGCTTTAAACGATACCAGACGATGAATAAGGGTCTTATCTAGCGAAACAATCGGTCATTTAAAAAATAAATAAAAAAGTTTAAGTTTTATAAGCACAAATGCTCGCCTTGCTCTGTTCTGTGATGCACGTTCGTGACTCTCCTGTTCGAACTCGTTCATCAAAGTGAACAAATCTTTTTTCGAGTCATTTCGTTCATTCAACGAACGAAATGAACGAAATGACTCGAAAAAAGATTGGAGTTATCCTTCCCATCCAGATCCAATGCTACCACATCTTTAAATTACTATTAGTTTTATTTGAAGTTGACATTATAAAATATTTTTTCACGCATATTTTAATCTAAAATATGAAGCAGGCCATTCAGTTACTTTTGAAAGCTCAAACAGGTGGTTATTGTATTTCATTGGACTTTAAAGACATAAAAACCATACAAAAGTATGTCCTCACGTTTTACCCCTAACTTTTATTGAGTCTCGGATGGGCCACTGACAGATGACAGTTGCTCGCCCCTCTTCCTCTCCTGCCACGCCCATTTAAGTTGCTTTTTTTAAAAAGATTGTGGGTGGACTTGAGCTGAAAGAGGGGGGTTTCATGGGCCATTAAGCCCACGTGCAAATTAACGTTAAAATAACATCAAATTGATCATTGTAATATGACTCACCAAGTAAAGAAAATAATGTATGTTTAAACAAGGAAGTGCATGAGCAGCGCTTTGATTCTCCGTAAATCTGCATCAGCCTCTATTTCTAATTCTCTGCCTCGTCCTCTTGTCACTCCAACAGCTTCTCCAATGTATCGCGTCCACTCAAAAATCCAATCCTTTCTTTATATTTAGTCACTTTTCTCTCTAAATCAATCGTTTAATGCGGAGTTTCTGGAGATAGCTTCGTCTGACTCGCTCTCTCTAGTCTGTTGCTCACGCTGGCAGAGGCGCAGGCGCGACCTTAAAGGGATAGTTCACCCAAAAACTTTGTTCATCTTCGGAACACGAATTAAGATATTTTTGATGAAATCTGAGAGCTGGATCACTCTTCCATACTAGTCCATAGGCTTCTTCAGGGATTGAACTTGCCGGCCTCGAAAAGTTATTAAAGACATCGTTAAAATAGTCCAAGTGACTACAGTGGCTCAATCTTAAGTTTATCAAGCGACGAGAATACTTTTTGTGCGTAAAACAAAACAAAAATAACCACTTTATTTCAACTATTCATTTCCTTCTCTTTCTAGGTTGTACGTCACGCATCAAACACATGGCCAGCGTCGGCCAATAGTGAGCCTGCGCTTGACGTGCAACCTAGAAGCTTTGCGCAATGTCACTACGTGAAATATCACAAGGAAATGATTAGTTGAATAAAGTCGTTATTTTTGTTTGTTTGTGTTCCAATAAGGAACACAGCAGTCATTTTAATGTTCCTAAATCCGAACCGCTGAAGACGCAGTGGCTGAGTTTGTTCTCGAAGTGAATATTCCCCACGATCAACGTCAATGCTTTCATGTTTGCGCAAATCATTTCTCACCAGACTGCTTTATAAACGAGGAGGGTCAGTATAAAGCTG